AACTCCTTTCTAACTACTCCGACATCTAAAGTAACACAGGGTCTACCAATACATGCAGGTACACTAACTGATTGGAGCAACCTTTTCACTCCATTAAAGCTTGATCAGAGAATTAATGTTGCCGCCACAGCGAGTAAAAAAACAATTTTTACCTTTGATCTTCAACTCTATTCAAAATGCATGTAGCTACAACAAAATAATGAGATCAAAGAACCATTCGCTTTTCAACTTGGGAAACTACATATTGGAAAGTACATTATTTGAAATGGACTTGATCAGATAATGATAGAAGCATGTATTTATGGTCCCACCAACCTTGGACATATTCTTGATGGAAACCATATGAAACGTGGTATGGAAGCATTCATGATTTTATACCTATCTTTAAACAAATTATACCTAGATAGTTTCTTGGTTTTTTGCCCTGAGATTTGTGATGTAATGAAAAATATGCGCAAGAACTCCCACCAATAATTGATAAGGAATCTGCACAAAGAAGCTTTGAGTAAATGTTACTGTATTTCCAATCAAATACTATTGTAGAAAAATGAAAAAAATTTGAGGACACAGCTCAACAAGGGTTATATTTGCGTAACTTTATGTTACTGTATGAAAAATATTTCATACAGTAATTAAATATAGCTTTAGTTTGTTCAATTGATCTTGCGTCGCTTTAAATCTAACGTGTATAAACCATTTTTACCTTATTGCTCTTGCTTTAAATACCATATTAAAAATATTTTGCGAAAAAAAAAATGATATCACAATTTCGCAAACAACAGTACTAACTGGCGAGATCTATAAACGAAAGAACTAAATCTAATGTAAAAAAACTCATCGATACATTTGATACATTTCGTCATACCGAAATTTAACACAGTGTCGTATACGACACTGTGTTTAAATTGAGAAATTTGCATTAAAAGTTCAAAGTAAAAAATCTCTTTATGTAAATTTAGTTTCATGTTGAAATTTAAGGAAGCTGACTAAAATCAGTATAAGTTTTTATTTAAATTATTAAAAAAAAAAGAAAAAAGCTTCCCTTGTTATTAAGAGCACTGTTTTTCAAATACGACAAATGTATTTCAAAAGCAGAACTTTTTTTCAGAATACAATTGTCATAGATGCAATTAATTTGATAGTAGGTGAATTAATGTTAAACTTACTTATGTTGTAACTCATAATGACTTATAACTTTAGTATAATTTTAGTTTCACTATCCTTCGCATTTTTTTAATTTAATTCAGTTCCGGTAACCAATTTATCGGCATTATATTTAGATATATACTGTTTTTAATCTGCAAGCTTCTTATATAGAAATTAATAAGCTTCTTAATCAAATATACTTATTATTAACTTAAGTATGATGTCAGGTTTCACTTACTAAATTTATAAATAACAACTATTCGAAAATGATAATATTAATAAAAATTGCTTAATGTAAAAAAAGAAAAAGTTGTAAATATTTATCACAACTTTATCTTTTTTTACATTAAGCAATTTTTATTAATATTATTTATTTTAGAATAGTTGAATAATAAAATAACTAATTTATCATACATATCTTTTAGTTTGTCTGTGAATGATATAAAGAAGTTAAACCTTAAATACAAAAAACAACCATTTCCATTATTGTATCTTTTTTTTTTACAATAAAGAAATAAATATATACAATGTTTTTTAAAACCAGAGGTGTGGAGTCGTAAAAAAAACTCCGACTCCAGTTGTTGAAATTTTTTGAGTAGGATTCTGACTCCGACTCCAGTTGTTGAAATTTTTTGAGCACAACTCCGACTTCGACTCCGACTCCAATTCCGACTCTGACTCTAACTCCAAAGCAAAATTTTTGAAAAATTCTTTGAATTCTTAAAAAAATATTATGCGATATGTAAAAAAATATCTTTTTTGACAAATTTATAAAACGTTCTTTGAGGTTTAGTATGAACATAAAGTTAGTTGAATGTTTTGTACATGCACGTGCAATACCGAGAAGTTTTACTATTGGAGTCGGAGTCGCGATTTTGTTTAGCGACTCCGACTCTGACTCCGCTAAAAATGTCACTACTTTGCAACTCTGACTTCGACTCCACAGCCTTGTGCAATTCTAGGAGATTTTTACTATCGGAGTCGGAGTTACGATTTTTTTTAAGCGACTCCGCTAAAATTTTCGCAACTCCGACTCTTACTCTACAGCCCTGATTAAAACATTTTATAAAGTGATATCTTTTAATTGTTCAAACTTTGTAACTTAAAAAGAGTATTATAAAATTCAAGATTATCACTAACCAATTATTTTACCATTTACTCAAGATCATTAATTTTTTTATCTGAGAGCAAAAAATGTGTTAAATCATTTTTTAATGGAGGAAGTTTTCAGAACTTTAACTTTCTATTTATTCTTTCTCTGAGCGGTAACTTTTACCAATCTTTCTTCAATTAATAGATCTAAGAACGATTTTTTGAATTTAATATGAAATGGTAAATGTTTTTTATGACACATAAGTTTTACTTTTGCAAAAGGCACTTTATGAAAATAAAAACACTTGGAAGCAAGTTTGAAGTTTTTGAAGTCATCTTGTACATTTGTATGACTTTCAAATCTACTGCAGAAGTTTTTTCAATAGATAGCATTAATTTGAATATGGTAGGAGAACTGTAAATCTTATAGTTTCTTAATTTTTTCTCAATTACACTATGCGCAGAGTCAATATTTTGTACCGAACTATGACCAGGTTCACTATACTTCTGTTTAATGAGTGGTATTCCGCTTTCATTTTGAAAGATTTTTGTTGCCATAGACACAATTGAGTTTTTATTCTGGGAAACACAAGAATCAGACCACAAAATAATTTGAGTAATTGATAAATTAAGACAGTTTTGAAGAATAAACTTTAATAGTTTATACAGTCAACTTGCAAGTTCATTTACACATCTACCAGCCATAGATTCATTCACTTTTATTCTTGTCTAGTTAATAGCTTACTCTCTCTATCTTTATGCTGCATTTTTTGATCATCTTTGTTTTTACATTCTTGACATAAATCACACAAATCTTTCTTTGGCTTATAAAATGCCCAATTAAACTCTGTATTAAAAGTTTAATAATAAACATTTTTTTATACATTGAAACTTGTATAAACAACATGTACATTTTAATCGTACTCAATGACAACTCAAAGTATTTTTTGTTAGTATTTTGTCTGCAATATTGCAAATCAACTGTTGGAAAACTATTTATGTGTTTTCTAATTTTATCTAAGACTTGATTAAGAGTTTTTCTACAAACCATTTTTTCTCCCTTTTGGGATCTTGGTAGTCCACTTACTTTATTTACCATGTTATTAAAATTATAGTAAATTTTTCTTTCACAGATATCTTTAAGAATTTATTTAGAATGTAAAAATATTCATCTCATTTACACTATTGAGAAAAAATGTATTGTAATGAAATCTTAGTACATAAGTATTTTGTATTTACTTTTCATTGTTAGGAGAATAAGAGAATAGACCGAGTAGATAAAAATTAACAATTGCTTTTACTTAGTAATTGGTCAACTAAAAACTTTAGAAATTTTTCTTAAGTTTTTATTCAGGTAAAGCTAAGCAATTACTGAGTAAATTGCTTAACTTTAGGTGAATAAAAGTTTGAGCAATACTGCTGAAGTTTTTATTCACGTAAAGCTGACCAATTGTAGAAAAAAACTGAGTAAAAGCAATTGCTCATTTATTATTCACCCGTCCGAATATACGTAGTTAAATCTAAAGTCACGTAAGCAAAGAGAACGCAAATAGAAGAAATATAAGATTGGTCTACGCTAAGTTCACAAAAATTAGAAAATTCGTATATATAAGTCATTTTCAAAAAAGACAATTTTTGAAAAAAATGTCTTATATATACGAATTTCCAAATATGACACTTGTATTCCGGGCTGACGATTTGGCATCAACTTCAACGAAAATCAGGTGGTTTTTAATCTTTTTTCCAAAGCCATTTTGGCTTAAGAAGTAGCAGATGAATTAGTCATGATGAAAAAATCGGAGAAGAGCTCTACCGTTCTTTTGTTACTGAAAGGTTAAAGGAGACATCTATATGGTTGCCAATGAAGATGAGAAATCTGAAAACATTCTAAAATCAAGCTAAAGTTTCAAAAATAAAGATAGATAATAAAGTAATTCAACTGAAAGAAGAACGCACTTTATTATCTTGTTTTCTACTTCACCTTATTATCTCGTTTTCTATAAAGAAAACGAGATAATAAGGTGATTTATAAAGACTTAAAAAACACATTTTAATTTATTCCTATTATAAAAATCCAGCTTGTAAGCGTGTTAATTGCAACATATATTTTTAAAATTTAGACGGGTATTGAGTTTAAGAATCAAATCTTAGAATATTTGAATCATTCAATAAATGTCTTTAATTCTATTTGTATTACAAGGTTAATTGACTTGATACCGCCAATTGAATATTTTCCGGGGGTCCTTTTTTCTCATTATTAAACATTGTGAAATGTAAGTACTATTTTGGTTTACATATAATATTTTTTTATATGTTTATACTATGCCAATATTTATATATATATTAGCTTAATCATTTCAGTTCTACTTAATTTATCTTTTATCTAGTGGTAATTTTTGTTAATGATTCCCGGTTCGGTAACTTACATAACGTCCTTTATCTTATAAAGTAAAAAATTTAACATATGTTTTTCATATGATTTTGAAAGTTTATTTAATGCTCTTTCTAATTATTAAAAGTCTAATTTTTTTTAAATAACATATAAATATTTTTTGCTATATTACGTCATACAACTGACACAAACTATAAACATCAAGTTACACTTGTCACTTTTAAAATCCGTTTTATGTGCACACGAAGAGTATTTTTGAAACCAGTGTAACATAAGTAAATTGCTATTAAATTTTAAAAAGTTAAATTTTTTTTTTCAGTTTTTTTTTTCTTTTGATTACTAAAACAGTTATAAATTTGTTTATTTTCAGGTGTAATAAGTGGTGTTGTTGTATTACTTTCTCTTGAGTTTATGACTCCTGCATTTTACTATATTCCGTCAGCTGCTCTAGGGTCCATGATGCTGATGGCTGTAATAACCATGGTTGAAATGAGTTTAACAATAAACATTTGGAAGTTGTACAAGTGGGGTTTGTTACCATTTGTGGCTGCTTTCTGCATGAGTTTCTACAAACTAGAATACGGAGTAATGGCTGGAACAGGGATTGCAATTCTAATAATGCTGTCCCGTGAGGCTCGTCCGAAATATTTTTGCGAGACGGATCAGTCGGGGAAATCCCTCACTCTTCTACTAATGGAAAACTTAACATATCCAGGAGTGGATGCTGTGAATAAAACAATTTGTTCTGAGGTCAATAGTTGTGCTGGTATTAAAACGTTGTACTTAGATATGTCGACTATGGTGCGAGTTGATTTTACAATACTTAAAAATTTTGAATTTATGAAGGCTGAGTTGTCAAAAAAAGAAGTAAGCCTTGAGTTTATCAATTTCTCCCGCGACTCCATAAAAAAGAAATTTATTGATGCCGGTTTAATTCAAATTGATGGTTCTCTGTCAAAGCAAGAAGAACTGAAAATAAACGTCGAGACAAGTAATCTAAGTAGAGAAGAAATTTCAAAATTAAAGTATATGAAAACCGGTATAAATGAAGATGATGACGTTGATAATGTTGAAAGTGCTGTGGAGATTAATGACATAGATAATGAAATTTTTCCGTCTACCGTTGAAAACATTCCCCATCCTGAATTTTAATTGTGCAAGTTTCAGTGTCACTTTTGTTTTCTGTATGTATAGCAATTTGATAGTATTTATTGTTAATTAAAACAATTAACTAGTTGTTAATAGTAATTTAACTGATAATAACGGTTCTTTGTAGTGATTCTTTTATTCACTTTTTTAATACTATTTTAAAAAACAGATTTTTTTTTTATCTGAAAAATATCTTGTTAAAGTTTTACTTGATTGTAGTTTTCATTTATTATAAGTAATTTTTATATTTTTTTTATATGTAACAATTTTTTATCTAAATAAATTTCTCTGTTTTATTGTTTTTATTGATTACTAACAGTATGATCATCATCGTTATCAGTAAGGTTTGCAAAAACCGCATTTATAAAATTTTTGTAACATTTCCGTTTTAATTAAAAAAAAAACAGCGATGTGTAGTTTTTCTTGATAAATAATAAAACTTATGTAACGGGCCATACTTAAAGTATGTACGCAGATATGGAGGGAGGGGGTGTTTTCCTAAAAGCGTACAAGGAGGGAGGGGGGGGTAAGGATGATAAAGACAGAGTATATTACGTATGTATATTATGTATGTTTGTTTTTTTTTTTTTTGTTTTTTTTTTTTTGGTTTTGTTAAGCAAAGAGTTTTGTCATATATAAAAATTTACAATGAAATCGTGTTAATAAATAAGAGAACTAGAGCAAGCGACTTTGTGATAAAATTGTTTTATATTTAAGCACCATCATAAAATTTACATGTTTGGCTATCCTAAACTTGATTTAGTATTTATTTATTTTCAACATTTAATTTCACGTGTGTAACAAATCAGTATTTTATTTTTTTCAGACTCGAGTCACAGAATTTTTGTTTTAATATTTACAATACTTACAATAATATTTACAATACTTACAATAATATTTACAATACTTACAATAATATTTACAATACGTAAACTAGTTTTTATCATTTCTCTTAAAATGATAAAATATATTAATTTTAAGTTTTAATTAAGTTACATTTTAAGTTTAATTAAATACAGAGTAATGTCAAATAAACTATTTTTTTTTGTTTTTAATATTTGAAAAAAAGCAATGCGTACGTACGCGGAGGGGGTGGCGATCTTCAAAAGCGTAAAGATTTATTCAAGGGGAAAGGGGGTCCTAAATCAGAGGTTTCACCGCGTACGTACTTTATGGATAGCCCCTATGTTTATCATATATTGTTTATTAAAAAAGTTATTTAAACAGTATTCTAATATGTTTATACTTTGAAATAAAACTAATAATAACTTATTTTTGCTGTAATAAAACCTTAAGAAAACTAAAGTTTAAATGATATAATCAGATAATCGTGATCGAATTATTGCGCAGAAACTAGTGCAGCTCGACAAAAAGTGTTCGACATCTGTTGATGTCGAACACTTTTTGTCGACATCAACAGATGTTGACACTTTAACAAATGCATATCATATGCGTTAGTTCTTTCATTGACGCGTTTTTTGAAATTTGAATGCAATAAGGATGCAATTTCTGTATTCATAACAAATAGTTTTGCAAGCGTGAATTCAAGAATAGTATCTGCTGTCGATAAAGTTGCATTTTCTCTGTTAAATAATTCTGTTAGTTTTGCGGGCTCTAAAGTGGCATGTAATGAAGGTAATGACTCAAAATCCAGCGTGTTGGTTACATCAACAGCATTTATTCAGTAAATGTCTGGATTAAATATTTCTTAGTTTTTAACAAAGGTGCAGTCATTGAAAAATGTGAATTCCAAAGATGACCAACATCCAGATGCAGTTCGATTTTTTTTATTAAATTCCTCAATAACTTTCTTCTGCAAAATATGTTAATAATCTGATGACAATTTTATGAATTTCATTAACTTTCGTGCATTCATCAAAATTTCAGGGTAGTCAACGTTAATCTTTTTTTTTATTATTTTTAGTTATTTTAGTGCTCCCAGAAGTTCTTACTTATTACAGAGCACCGCGGAAGAGCATTTAACAAAAAGTTCTTACTTATTACAGAGCACCGCGGAAGAGCATTTAACAAGAAGTTCTTACTTATTACAGAGCACCGCGGAAGAGCATTTAACAAGAAGTTCTTACTTATTACAGAGCACCGCGGATAAGCATTTAACAAGAAGTTCTTACTTATTACAGAGCACCGCGGAAGAGCATTTAACAAGAAGTTCACGCCTTTTTCCATACTATTGTCACTTATTGGGCTTGAGCTGGCGTCGAACCACGGACTTCTGGGTTCTGAGCCAGAACTCTAACAACTGCGCCACGGCTGCTCAATCTCATTGTTTACTGATTTAAAACTAAAATTATCATTGTAAACTCTATGTTAATCCTCTTCTGAATTGCTGTCTGTTTCCTTAGGAAAGATGAATTCCATAGTTAAAGCACTGATCAACAATGCTTGTCATTTTCATGAGCTTCTAGTTGATTGTTGCACCATTTTGAGTAGAACCTGCTACATCTCTTTCCATAAACTCAAATGATCCTTAATATTTTGTATTAAACTTTCAGGTGGACAGGAACAATAAATGTTAATGAGGCCAGTTTTAACGGTTTTTTTTACAATTGCATCCATGCAGGTTGATACCAATTTACCATAACAACTTCTGTGCCTAAAAAAAAGAGTATTATTCATGCGTTAAGCTGAACTTACGTTCCACTTGAATTTTTCAATAATTTCTGGTTTCATCACTTCATTTTTATTAAAACAAAAAAAATATTGATGGATTAAATTTATTACATTTGTTGGATAATTTCCTCTTTGGTGAAACAATGAGCAAATAAATTCGTCATTAATTATTGCATTAATCGAAATATCATCTGGAACTTGGCTGGTTGCAATTTCTTTAAGGCTCGTTGTTTGTAAATAAATGTTTATGATTTTAATTTCTTTTTCCGAGGTGAATTTGAGCTGCTGATTGATTTTCCAGTCAAACAAAAACATGCTATCAATTATTTCAAATGCAGGTCGATTCACACATACTAAAGAACTATTTAATAATCTTCACATACTCAATGTTTTTCAGTTAAACCTTTATCAAATTCTTATTTTTATGTACAAACTTCATAATAAAATATCACCTATAATATTTAGTACACTTTTCAATAAAATTAATCACATGTACCCTACAAGATTTTCTAAGTACAATTATGAGCAACCTAAAATGCATTATTTGGCTACCAAATTTTCTATTGCTATAAGAGGTCCTAAATTATGGAACGCTTTATTAAGTGACGAGCTGAAAAATTGTTCTTCTCTTTACCTATTCAAAAAAAAAATTGAATCAAAAACTTATTAAAAATGTTTATGAATTAAATTCTTTTTAAAAATTTTTTATTTTTATTTTTTCTTTATTTTTAATAATTATCTTATTAACTCTATAAACTATCCTATTAGCTTATCTATAGTTTTGATTTTTTTTTTTTAATTTCTTTTTACTATTTTCTTTTGATTATAGATTAGTAACTAGTCTTAACATTATTACATCATTACTTGTAAATAATTGTATATAATTTTTTAAATGGCACAAAGTAATTATATATTTAACTTTTAATGGTTGTACACGCTTGCTTATGAAAGCACGTCGGGGTGTAGTGATAAGGCAAGTATTGTCTTCTTTTAACCCAGGTCATGTAGATGTTATTTATACTACACGGCATTGTATTCTTTTTTTTTACTGACGAAATAAATAAATTAAAAAAAAAAAAAAAAAAAAGTTCCATCTGTTAGACGCATATAGTTGTGAAAACAGACGGTCTTTGTTATATTTTGCATTTTCGATGTTTTAGCTTTAATTGAAGATCTGTAAATTCTCCACCTTGTAGCCAGAATTCCAAAATTATTTTCAATTGTTCTACGACATCTAGATAAGCGATAATTATAAATTCTTTGTTGGACTGTAAGGTTTTTACCTGGGTATAGTTTCATTAACCATGGCTTAAGTGCAAATATATCAGCTCCAACAAGGACTGGTGGAAGTTTAGGATCGAATTTAGACACTTCTGGTAAATTAAATTGGTAAATTCTGGTAATTGCTGGCATTTAAAATAGAAGTATCATTATCCCTTCTATAACCCCCTATATCAACCACTGTAAAACAATATTTAGCACCACAGATGGCTAATAAAATCATACTGTAAAACCCTTTATAATTGTAAAAAGAAGAACCAGATTTTGCAGGAGTTTCAATGCGTACGTGCTTTCCATCAATAGCTCCTATAAATTTTGGAAAGTTCCAATTCTGATTAAATTTTTTAATAATATTTTGCCACTCTTGTATGTCGTTAGAGGCTCTTTGAAATATTTTTTTTAGAACTTTACATATAGCAAAACAGGTTTCTTCAAGTGTAGTTATTAATTGCTGCGATGGGTATATAGACTTTCCACGGGGACAATTTTTTTTTATTATTGGAGGTCCGATTAAGGACAAAAGATATTCAAATCTGTCAGGAGACATTCTTAAGTATCGAAAAACAATTCTCTATCAAATAGCATCATTTCTTGCACCAACGAACTAAATGCACCTTGCTGGACGCGTTTTTTAAATAGTTCTCTGACCCAAAACTAATGTTTTCATTTTTTTTTACGTTTTAAAATTAAAAGTATTATGAAAAGTCGAATAATTTAGAATAACACTTTTTTTAATGATCGTTATGTCTTTCATTTATTATGTTTTTTTTATTTTTAATTTTAAATAAATTAAATGCAATGGAAACATAACGTTGCACAACAAATTAACGCACAACAAGTTAAACAAAAGTTTGTTTACGATTGTTGTACGACATTTCTACAACTCTTGGAAACCATATATACTATATATATATATATATATATATATATATATATATATATATATATATATATATATATATATATATATATATATATATATATATATATATATATATATAGAAGTAGTAGTAGTAGTAGTAGTAGTAGTAGTAGTAGTAGTAGTAGTAGTAGTAGTAGTAGTAGTAGTAGTAGTAGTAGTAGTAGTAGTAGTAGTAGTAGTAGTAGTAGTAGTAGTAGTAGTAGTAGTAGTAGTAGTAGTAGTAGAAAAATTGCTGCAACAGGTTTCCCTGTATAACATACAGGTTTTGGCAGCCTTATCTACTTCATATACTAATTTTATTCATATCAATATATAAAAATTTACAATAAGATATATAGTATGAAGTATAAGTTTGTACTTTATTGTTTTTCCTTTTTTTTTTTTTTTTTTTTTAGTTATAATCTCGATACTTATGCAGATTATTTGAAATTTCTGCATCAAACTTAGCCTTGAAACTGTTAACTGATGAAGTGCATACAACTTCTGACGGCAATGCATTCCAATGATTCACTATTTGATTAGTAAAAAACTGGTGCCTTTGCTCGCAATTATGAACATATTCTCTAGTCATTTTTAGATGATGTCCTCTAGTTTTTATTTTATTTGACTCCCCAACAGCAAGGACATGGGGTTCACTCCATGAGACAATGTCTATATTGTTAATAATTTTATAGGCCTGTATCAGATCTCCCCTAACGCGACGGGTTTCTAAAGACGTTTAGTTTAGTATAATCAGACGATCTTTGTATGACATATGAAGGTGCGAAGGTATTAAACGGGTAGCTCTTCTTTGTACTTTCTCAATTTTGTCAATATCTATTCTTGATGATAGATTACTTGCTGCTACCGCAAGTTCCAGATGAGGTTGTACAAAGGTTGTATATAGATAATATATTTAAGTAGTTGCGGAGTTGCATTAGACATGTTGTATCGTACTTTCAGTCGCATGACTCCGCAACTACTTAAATATATATTTAAGTAGTTGCGGAGTCATGCGACTGAAAGTACGATACAACATGCCTAATACATGGTTAGCTTTATTGGTTGTAAAAGTTGAGTTGTTATGCCATTTTAAGTCTGGCACAATTATGATGCCTAAATCACGTTCGAACAATGTCGATGCTAGTTCGACACTGTTATTGTCATTAGCTGGCATTGAGTAGACATAAAACTTGTTTTTTTTTTTACCTATGTGCATGATTTTACATTTATCGAGATTAAGTTTCATTTTCCAGGTTTTTCACCAATCGGCTATGTTGTAGATATCAGTTTGAAGCATTTGTGAAGATAATGGGTGGTCTAAACGGGCCAGCAGTTTAGTGTCATCAGCATACAATTTACATGGATGTTTAACAATATCGGATATATTGTTCACAAAAATTATAAAAAGTATTGGACCTAATACGGATACTTGAGGGACGCCACTAAATACCTCAAGCCACAAGGAAACATAATCGCCCATCACGATTCGTTGAAAACGCTGGTGTAAAAATAATTTTATCCAATTCAGGAGATTTTCAGTAAAACCATATGCCTCAAGTTTTTAAATTAGTCTCTTGTGGGGAACCATATCAAATACTTTACTGAAATCTATAAAAGCTACGTCCATAGATATTTTGGCAGATAATACTTTTGACATCATGTCAATCGACTCCAACAAATTAGTCACACAAGCTTTTTTATTGACAAAACCATGTTGATTTTTTGAAATAAGGCTATGTTCGACTAAATGATTGACCATAGTGTCACGTAATATTTTCTCCATCACTTTACATACAACTAATGTTAAGGATATAGGCCGGTAATTGCCTGGGTTGAGTCTACTTCCGTTTTTAAACAGTGGTGTTATATTAGCTTATTTCCATACTTCAGGACAACACCCACTATCTAGCGACTTCTGAAAAATTGCGCATAAAGGTATTGAGAAGCTGTCAGAACAGTTCTTTAGTACATATGCGTTTACATCATCCAAACCAACGGTTTTATCAACTGATAAATTGCTCAGCTTGTTTTTAACCAGATCTTGCGTTTTTGGCGAGTATTTGCAGATGGCTTCAGTTCGTTTTATAAAATATGGCAGTTCATCGTCTTCATTTTTGTTGAAAACACTTTGAAAATGATTGTTCAGCCGATTTGCAATTTCTATTGGATTTGTGGTAGTGTCGCCATTGATTCCTTTCAAGGCTGTTATTGTAATTCTAACATTTTGTTTTCCATTAACATACTTGAACAGGACCTTTGGGTTGCGCTTCGATTTTATCGCTAAATCAATTTCAAACTCACAACGAGCTTTATATATGAGGTTCTTCAACTAAATATTACACGCTTTGTATTCGTTGACTAGTTTAAGATTTTTATATTCATTCGCTCTACATCGAAACCATAGTTTGTTTTTAGTTTTTATTTTATTCTTGATGCCGTCATTCATTCATTTGCTTCTACAACGAATCCTTTTTGGTTTAGTCACTGGGACATAAGTTTTGCATGCAGCCTCGTAGTGGTTCAGGAAAATGTTATACCAGTCATCAGTATTGCGTCCATTGAATTCCATCTGCCAGTTGATGTTGTTAAAATATTCAGATATCTTTACAAAGTTACTTTTATGATAAATGTGTTTTTCAATGTGTTTTCCTACAACTGCAGCGCTTTAACAACGTAATCCCATTGAAGGACGTGGTGAGATTTCTTCAGAGACGTTAAAGGTGCATGGTGAATAATATCGAGAACCCGATTTTCATTTTCGGCTATTATTAGATCAAGAGTGTTGTTCGATGTAATTTCATCAAGTTGAAAAGTGGGCTTAGTAACAAATTGTATCAAAAACGATTCGGCAAGGATGTCAATAAAATTACTTGAAAGGGTATCTGTGTTGCTGATAGTTGGGATACTGCTCGAATCCCAGTTAATCCCTGGCAAATTAAAGTCTCCACAAGTTAACAAGCTGCTGTGAATATTAGACAGAAATTCATTTGCTTTAATAATGGACGCTTCGATATTCTCGAGTGGATCTAGCATTTGTGGCCTGTATATGCAACCCAGAAGGATGTGATCGGAACCGTACGATATTTCGCACCAAATTTTTTCAGGGGAATCTAATAAAACAATTTCGCTAACTTCATTAGGCTTTAATTAAGTGTCGACATAAATAGCTACCCCACCTCCTCGACTGGAAACGCGATTTTTTCTCAATAACATGTAGTTTTCAATGTTAATTATCGATGGTTCATGCCACCAAGTTTCTGTAACGAAGATTATTTTAGAGTTGTATGTCTCAATTGATGCTAGAAACTCTGGCATTTTAAGGGATGTAGTATTGGTATAACAGCATGGTATTTTATGGAAAGCTGACTGACTAATAGTTGAAAATGACTTACGCTCTAAAGAAATTTCGTTTATACTTAAATTGCCATTATATGGTTTTAAATTACTTACTGTTGATTGCTATTTGTCTACTTTAACTACAGCATTAATACGAATAACGTAGTAATGACTTGCATTTGCCCATTTATTTTTAAATTAAGAGGCTCGTTTTTCTTTTTTAACTCGTCTCGTAATTATCTATCTTGTCTTCTTTGTGCTTCTGTCAGATCTGGATTAGCATTGATGCCTTCAAATTTACGCCGGGATGCTTTAACAATATTATTTCTGGTGACAGTATCAGTCGCCTCAACTATAATAGTTTGAGGTTTATTCGGATCTTTTGACCGTAAGCGAAAATATTTTATTACATTGTCCGAATTAATTTTAACGTTGGTTAGAAACTCTTTTATTTTGTTCTCATCGTCTACTTGCTTCTTGTTAGGTTCTTTTTTAGTCGACGCTGGAATGCCAAAGACGATAAGATTTTTGTCACGCTTCACTCTATCTTTGTTCTCATTAGCTACACAATTAAGCATATCTAGCTGAGCTGGCGTTTTAGTTGATTTTTTTCCGACCACAATGTTCCATGCTTCCTTTATAGTTAAGGAAGCAATGGGCTTTTCCTCAAGTTGTTGTGAGGGCGATGATTGTTGATGTTTGTTCAACAACTGTTTTTGATAACGCTTCTACTTGCTTTAGAAGCGTCTCATACTTGATATTCAACTCAGAAATGTCGGCTTTTGTAGACATTTAACGAAAATGTTGAAAAGCGTGAATATGTTTAAACAACAGTATATTTAGTTTATATAATATTTAAATTATATGTATATTGATATATATATGTATATATGTATATATATATAGACATATAATAATATATGTGTATTTTTATTACGAATATGAATTTCATATAATCTATATAAATTTTTTATAAATAACTTTTATATATATATATATATATATATATATATATATATATATATATATATATATATATATATATATATATATATATATATATATATATATATATATATATATATATATATATATATATATATATGTATGTATATATATATGTAATTTTCTCGCTCGAAATAAAACTTCTTTCACATCCAAATAACTTATTTTTTTAAACCTGAATTTAACTCACCTTACAAAAGTTTTACGCCCATTTATATAATATATCTACCCACAAAATCAACATTACAAAAACCGCCTAATACATAACTACAATTAAAATAATTAAAAATTATTAGTAAATGAAACCACGTAATTTCCATAGAATGTTCTAGAACTTTCTGCACTTTATTTACACTCCTCTTTGATCCTTACGGATCATCCAAATAATAATCGTCGCATTTTTGGGGCATTGTGTTGTTCTCGAATACTTTGTGGAAAAGGCACTGTTTCTTGGAATCTATTTTCGCCTTTACCATTTCCTTGTAATACGTCTCCTTTGCTTGCCTCCAACACATTTTTAATTTGCTCAGCATGGTTTGCCGCGTTATCTCGACCACTGTCTTCATTCACTTTAGGAATATCGCATGGTTGAATGTTATTTCAATATCGGATATGTTTTACGTGACGCGGAACGCCATTAACTTCGACAACTTGTTTCGAAATATTTCCTGTTTGTTTTGCTGGTTGCCACTTAGTATGGCACTTCACATTTGACGGTTTCAACCAAACATTATCACCATTTTTAAACACTTCATTTGAGTCAGCTTTTGTCGGAAGATTATCTTTTCTCAATCCTTTCACATCACTTCGATACCTGTATATTTTCTCTATCGGGCTTGCTTTGTTTTTGTTAGCTGAGACGTTGTACCAATACACTGCTTCCGGTATTGACAATTTTGATATTTCTGCAATTCTCTTATTTGTACGATAATTTCTTTCCACAATTCCATTTCCTTTGGGATGATAAGCAGCTCGAAACCTAATACGCACTCCCCAACCGTCAAGAAAACTTCTCAATTTCTCAGTTTTAAAAGTTGCTTCGTTTTCTGTCAAAATTTCAGATGGCGCTCCTTGCTTGCAAAAGATAAGGTGGAGTATTCGATTAATGGCAATACTTCCGTATGAACTTGAAAGTTGTTGCCACAGTGCGTATCTCGAAGGTCCCTAATCAATCAGGGTTATTTTTTTTTGTTGTTAAAATGCGTGATATCCATGGCCACTCTTTCCCAATTTTCTTTAACGCGCAATTTTCCCTTCTCCCATTGTACAGGTACTGGATCTATTGACTGACATGGTTCGCAATTTTAAATTACCTCTTTAACTTTTTTCAGTAGCTGTTAGAATTACTTTACAAACAAAGTTTAGAGTGCAATTTATTCCAAAGTGTCCACTTCTCTTGTGTATGCTAGAAATGGATTCAGCCTCTGAAAATACTGTTCCAACGGAATTACTCGAAAGCTTAGCTTCCGTCAATTTATTCAACCATCTACTTCGAACTCTAGTCAATGCGTCAGCTAAGTTGTCTTTTGAAGGAACAAGTTTTACATTCACATTTATACCATATTCTTTAATACATTGTTACACAATGCTTAATCTTCTTTGAACGAATGGGCGAACATTTCGCCCATTGCTTTTGATTTCAATCTTGACTTACCAGTGAGAGTGTTAGAAACCAGTCATGGAATCTGTGATGATAGTTGCTTTCTTTAATTTCCACTTCAAAGCCATATTCATTTCTCGCATTACACCATCCTCCGCCATGTTTATGTATACTGACATTTCTTTTCGTAGCCATGTTGCATCTTCTACAGTAGTTTTACTAACTTGAATAACCGCACCACTTGCCAAAGAACTTGCTTCAATCCACACATTCCCTACGTTACCATGTACAGCCCAATCACCATAAGCTGAATCGTATTTTGCAACCTTATCATAAACCTCTTGAAGTACACGCTTTAAATTTTCATCGCAAACTTCATCGTCCAAACCCTTCGTCTAATCACTCTTTTTTTCAAAAGACCACAAACTGCACGTAACCAACCACAAACTGGTAAATGACCTACCAACTGCACACAAACAGAAAACACTACTCTTCTACTTAACTTTATCAACATTGCATTGACTTGATTTTCCCTGGACCAGGTCAACTTGCCACCAACCTTGTACACTTGTAATCCCAAAATTAAATCTGTTCACTTTCTTTACTCTCTAAACCATATTTTTCAAAATGTCTTTTGACATAATCAAGACTCACAACTTCCTCATTGACAAAAATGTTGTCCACGTAAGCGCTTGCTCCTTTCTTCACCAATTCATCTTGAACAATAATGGCACTCACAACAGATTCATGATCATTGGAGTAACGTTTAATCCAAAACCAAGCCGTGTCAAACAATACCTTTTGTTTTGAAAAACCACTGTTTGAAATGGCCAAAGAGATTCTTCAGTTTTTAATTGGAGATAAGCCTTGCGTAAATCAATAACTGCTGGGTTTTTCCCCATTCTTCTCCATTTCCTCAGCTTCTCAAGATACACATCTGCATCTCTTGTATAGGTTTCAATAAAACTGTTAGCTTCTCTCCAGTCCAAAATGGGTCCGACTTTATTATCTTTATTTCGTTGGATAATGGCCATTAACGGAATTTGCCCTTTGGGTGGTCCTATCTTATTTTCGTAGTATTCAAATAACCATTTACAATTGATCCAATCACGTAATTCGTTTTCATATTCTGCTCTTGCATATTTTGGTATGCTGTATTAGCTAATTTTGTTAACCAACTGGTTGGGGCCTTCTCCATCTCTCCATTTCCATTTAACTTCCCTTTCGACACCATTAAATATTGCTTCATGATCTTGTTTTTTAATTTCAATTTTATTGACTTTATTTTAAACGGTTTATCTTAAACGGTTGAAAATCCACTAAAATGACTTCGTCTTAATTTGAATACCATCAACCTCAATAGTGACAGCCGCTAATCCATTACATTGATGAAATTTACCGTTAAAATTTACTACCTTTGGTGGAGTCTGAGATTTATTTGATTTCTTGACAACAGTTTTTGATGTATAATTGTCTTAAAACAACCCGTGTCTACCATAGCTGTCGCTAACAAACCATTAACTTTTAGATGAATAATAGATAATTCGCTAATTCCACCATTGTTCAGGAAAAGGTAGCGCACATTCCTTGCACTAGTTTCCCTGCTCCATTAAGCATTTTGCAGCCACGTGTCCTTCATTCCCACATTTAAAACATCGAAAAAGATTCTTCGGAGCCAGTTTTTTTGCAAAGGAACAGTTTCTCGCAATATGATTTAACATTTTGCAGTTATAACACACCAACGGCACTTTTGTGGCTTGATTTCGAAAAACAGCGCCAACAGCATCATCTACGCTTACACGATTCAAAGCAGCTCTTACTTTGTATAACATAACATCGATCCATTACAGCTCGAAATCTTGATGATAAATATTCGGGCAATCTAACAACAAACGCTAATCAGAAAGACTCAATCAAGTAGACTCTTCTGACAGTTTAGTAAGATAAGCCAATCTTTTTAAATCGGCCAAAAACACATCAACTTTCTCTCCAACGTTTAATTTTTGTTTAACAAAAAGTTCGTATGCTGTATAAGCATCGAAAGAGAAGAGCTGCTAACAAAACTTAATTTCTTCTTCGTCTTGCTTATTTTCAGTGTTTAAACCATCATATACTAAATAAGCAGCTCCTCTTAGAAGAATTGGAAAGAGTGACTTTAGTTTTAAATTTTGCATTTCTGCAATCACTTTAGTTCGCTGTATCCAAACAGCAGCGCCCAAAGTTCCATCAAACGTTTCAAACAAATCAATAATTCAGTATTCGAATCCATGCCCAGTTAGCTTGCAATTTTCTTATTCGAAATAAAACTTATTTCACATCAAAATAACTTATTTTTCTAAACCTAAATTCAACTCATCTTACAAAAGTTTTACATCCATTTATATAATATATCTACCTACAAAATCGACATTACAAAAACCGCTTAATACATAACTATAATTAAAATAATTAAAACCTATTAGTAAAAAAAACCACGTAATTGCCATAGATTGTTCTAGAACTTTCTGCACTTTATTTACACCTAGGCGATGTTATAGTAAGAAAGATAGCTCAGTATAAACAAAGTATAACATTTTTGTAATAATGTTTAATTTTAAACAGGCTTAGATTTATATAACATGGAAATACGTTTTTGTTTGATATTCGTATAATTGTTATTTTGTTGATATTCTTACAATTGTTTATTGTGTTTGGGTAGTTGTGGAACATTATCGGCTTTACTATAGAATGAACTTAGTTTTCTCGAATTTACTATGAAATGATCTTAGTTTTCTCGAATACTTATGAAGAATAAGGTAAAATATACTAGTCGTTTATAAAAATACCACTTTATAAATAAACCACCATAAAAATATTTAGTTTATAACTCCATAGTGGTCTAGTTTTTTAAAAAATATTTAATGGTTCACTGTGACGAAAGTTTTGGATATAATAATAAAAACTCTATCGTATAAAAACTCTATGGTGTAAAAATTAAATAAATTTATTATACCTTTATAGGTTAGATTTTGTAAATTAAATTGTTCAAATTTATTACTATAAACTATTTTTGATTGCTGAAGTAACTTTTAAGTAACACTTAAACATTCTACTTAATACCATGATTTATTAATAATTCATTTTTTAACCAGAATTTGATGATTATTTGTTTAAAATGCTATTAATAAATCAATGAAAACTTCCAACTTATAAACTTTCAAAATATTAGACTTTGCAGCGAAAAATTTGAAATGCTGCGAGTTTTTTGTTTAGTTTTTTCTTTAATTTTTTTTATTTGACATATGCTATTAATTTGCATATTTTTCCGCAACAATGGAACTCAACAAAATATATGGCTTATGTGCAAATGTTGAATAATAACATGAATATATGAATAAATGTCAAAATTCAAAAAAATAGTATTAGGCGAAGAAAAATGTTTACTTATAACCGTTTTAACGGAAAATATCTCGAAAACAAGTTTATATCGTATAATTGAAACACATAAAATTTAAAAATTGGAAAAGAAAATTGGAAATGGCACAAGAAAAAAAATCAAACAGATTGCTGCTTACTTTAAAAAAAATCATAAACCATTAGAAAAGAAAGTCAAGAAAATTCAAAGTAACAATTAGAAAATCCCAAAGCAACCATTAGAAAAGGAGTCAAATACTTCAAAATTTAAAGTACACACACTCATAATTTGTTAAAAGCAAAGTCAAACATTAAAAATAGTCAACGTAAATGAATAGCAAAACTAGTTGCAGACGCCTAAAAGTTCCCATAGGTATGACCAGTAATCAAGCAATATGAATAATCTGATAACAAAAATACGTACAAAAAAGGTTGCATTGAAAATATTTTTATTCCGTTTTTATATGAATAATATTCTGATGACAGTTAAGTTTTTTGTCCTGATAAATGTTTCATTGTAGTTCTATTTTTGAGGGAATATCCAAAAGTTGATTGGCCCATAGTATTATTATGTATAAACTAATATAATTATTATGTATAAACTAATATAATTATAAATTTTGTTGTGTTAAATTACCTCTAACTGTAGACAAAACTGAGATTGAGTACATTAGTTTCATCAACTAATTTAAAAATTGGTGTGACTTTGTTTGGTATTCACTTAGTTACGATCTCACTTCTTGTTTAGAATTACCGCTTAGGCAAATTTGCAACGGGATAACTAGCTCGCATGTTACGAAGGTGCGTACTAAATCGCGCCACTTCCCAGCTTTATATATATATTTGTTTGTTTGTTTGTTTTTTAATAATTTAGATAAAAATTAATGACGTTTTGAGTTTCTTATTTCTAAATTTTCAATGATGTTCATTTTTATATAAAGGTTTAAGTGGTCCGTATATCGGCATAAAAAACAAATCTTTTCGCAATTGAGAAACAGCTGATGCAATTTGCCGTTTATTGTCTGTGTTTGCATCACAGGTAACTGACTTATTTTGACTTATTTTTTCATTAACCCGAGTTAAAAGACGAAGAACATCCATTTTATGAACACTTTCACGAAAAACAGATACAACAGCTTGAATAAACCATGAACCATTTCTAGCATTTCGCCAAGCAAAGTATCCAGGAACAGTCGAATAAGCATACAAAAAATCACTTTCAGACGGAAGATTGAGAACCTTTTCTTTTTTACTTTTTTGCGGTAACGATCCTGGTCCATCAACTTGATCCAAGGAACTCATATATTCTGATCCTTGACAAGCTTGAATAAGAAACACTTTAGGTTTACCCGCTAAATTTTCTGTGCGAAAAAGCCTCGTTATATCTCGTATTTTTAAATATGTATCAGTGCAGTATATTATTCCTTCTTTGCCATGAGTTAACACTGCAACTACACAACAGCTCATTTTAGAATAATCTTGGTTCGCTGCATTTTTTAAGATTCGTAATACGTCAGTGGAAGTAGGGTTATCAAATCTATCTACTATAAAACCTATCTCTAAAAAAAGATTGCAAAGACTCTCTGCATCAGCATCTGTACCTGATCTAGGATATTTTTGCATACCTGAAGATTCCATAAAGTCTTTTACATTTATTATTGTTAAAATTCCTCTCGGAAAAGTATTCATTTTGTAATAATAATCGGAATCTAATTTATACTTCAAGTCAGAACATTTATCGTCTGGTTGTTTTGGAAGATATCTTCTTAGTAAGAATATTATTCCCTCTCTGTCTTTTCTTTCTGACTGTTGAAAAACATTTCCGTTGGCTTCATATTGGAGCGATGGAAATATAATATTAAGCTTTCCATCTGTCAACTCGTTAGTTTTTAGGGTTGCAGATTCTTTATTATAATTTTCTGTAATAGAAACTTCATTTCCCTGGGGATTAGTTAAAACAATTTTTACATCAGCAACAGAATCAATAGTGGAATAATCTTTTTTATCAACTTCTAAATCAACTTTTACGTCAACAGCAGAATCAACTTTTGCGTCACCAGCTGTATCAACTTTTACATCAACAGCAGAATCAACTACTACGTGAACTGTAGAACCATCTTCATGAAATATTATTGTATTCTCATCAAAATCCATTGTCTCATTTACGTCATGTTTTTTAAAAGGTGTATCTAACTCATCAACCTTGTTTTTTTCAGGATTTCTTTTTGTTAAGTTGATTTCCATTTTATTTAGTTAAACTCTTTATTTAGAGAATGAGAAAAATGTAATAGTATAATAACTATTATTTAAACTAATAATTTATTTAAACGCAGAAAATTTTCTGCAAAATTATTAAAGCAAATATAGACATTTAAATCAAAATTACGAAATATTTAAATATTTTTTATATATAAGATATACAGTATGTAAAAATATAATTAAAAAGAAAAATCGGTAATTAGAGTTAATATATCTAGTATATTCTTTTTTACAATATCTTTTATATATATATATATATATATATATATATATATATATATATATATATATATATATATATATATATATATATATATATATATATATATATATATATATATATATATATATATATATATATATATATATATATATATATATATATATATATATATATATATATATATATATATATATTATTTTAAAACATAAAGAAATACAGTATAATATAATCAATACTAATAATATAAAATTATTAGCATTGAGAGAAACTGTATTTCTTGATGTTTTAAAATAATATATACTATACTCTCATACAAGATGTCATCTTTCAAATATATATATATATATATATATATATATATATATATATATATATATATATATATATATATATATATATATATATATATATATATATATATATATATATATACATATATATATATACACACACATATATATATATATATACACACACATATATATATATATATACACACACATATATATATATATATATATATATATATATATATATATATATATATATATATATATATATATATATATATATATATATATATATGACTTTTTAATAAGATGAAACTTTAAATTAAAAAGCTTAAAATTTATAAACAAACTTTGTAACAACAAGCGATTACTAAATAAAATATGTTTATTTCTTTAAAATATCTAAATCAACAGACAATTGAAGCGTGTCTGTGATTATAAACTTGCTCAATAATATATTTAGAAGTTTTATCTTTACTAATCTCAAATATATAGAGAAAAAGTAGAAGAGCTTATATTATATATTTTTTGTTGATCTCCATTGTGTATATCTCCATGAAGTTTTGATGAACCATTGATATTTCTTAAGCTATCATAATTTGTAAAATATGAATACTTTTTATATACTTTATATTTGAGGATCCCATCTGCAGCTGCAAAACGTGCTATTTCATAAAAATAAAAATTTTGGGTTAGTTTTTAAGCATTTCCAGACTCTTTTTACATATATTTATCATATATATATAAATATTGGAATAATTAAGATTTTTTGTCCTAAAAATAGAAAAAGTATTTATATATTGATTTTTATTGATGCTCAACTATGAGTAATTCGGTTTTTCGTCTTTTTCTCAAAATCATTCTACTCGGAATTTTTATTTATTTTACTTAATTTCTTTTGAAATACAAAAATACAGAGGTAGTTCTCCATCAATTTTCCTTTGACGAGTACTTCAGGAATCTTTTTTAAAGCTAACAAAACTGAGAGAACCCAATTATTGAATCCGTTTTTAGAATGGTTTTGTTTTGATTACCGTAAGTAAGGCCAAAAAAAAATCTCTAATGTTTCAGAATTTATTTGAGCCAACTATCCGGTAGACAGCAAATAAAACTTGAGCGTTTGATCAAGTTAAAAAGTTTAGCATGGTAACTACGTACCAAATGCGAAAAACAAAACGCATCTTTACCTGTTGCATCAACAATAAAGTTCATTGTACAAATTAACAAAATCAAAGAAATTACCAAAAAATACCTATATTACCACTAGTCAATTTATATTTCCAACTAACCACAGGTAAGAGTTTATAGGGAAACTTAAGTTTCCCTATAAACTCTTACTTCATTTCTTTTGAATTATCTTTTGAGGTGTTGTGTTCTTTTGAATTATCTTTTGAGGTGTTACTTCATTTCTTTTGAATTATCTTTTGAATTATCTTGTGAGGTGAAAACGCCTTTAAAATGTTAAAGTTTAACAAGCCCGGATGGTGTTAATAGCAACATTATTTTAAGTTCATTTGATGTTATAAAAGATATACTCTTTAAGATTTTTTAATTTTAGTTAAACAGAGAATTACACAAACTCTAATATTAGTAAATGTAATACCAATATTAAAAAGTGGTGACATTGAAAACTTTAGAACTATCGTTCGATTTCAATACTTTCTATATTCTGTAAAGTTTTATAAAGAATTTTTTCAAAAATTTTATAAACATCTTACTATTAACAGTTTAATATACAGCAATCAATATGTATTCCGAAAAAACAACTCCACTGAGCATGCAATTCTTCAATTTACTAGAAATATTTATGCTTCATTTGAAAAAAACCAATTTACTTTGGGTATTTTTATTGATTTGGCTGAAGCCTTTGATACTATTGATCACGAAATTCATTATAAAATGTTGAAATATGGTAAAACAATTAAAGGTAAAATTAAACCTCTTTATCGGCAACAGTATCACGTTGCACGCCTCCTAAATTTCAAGGACCGTTTTATATTTTAAGTAATGAAAATTTAATTTTTCTCAAACTAATTTTCGATTAAGAATTTTTAATTTATTAAGGATTTTTTATTTCATTTCGCGGACCATTTTTATGTAATAATATAGTTTAAAATAATACTAAAGATATTTCTCAAAAGTCTAAATTTGAATTCTTTTAAACAAAATCTTAAAAAACTCATTTTTTCCACTGAAAATATACTTATATACTTTTAAAACTTTGACAAAAATTTTTTACGGGAAGCTCATTGTAATATGTTATTTAAACTTTATATAAATACATATTTACATAAATATGTTCCAATACAAAATTCACTGTTTTTTGAACATATTTATAAGTTAAATTTATTTTTACTTGCATGTACTGTAACGTAATTTAATTTATATAATTACGTTACAGTAAATGCTAGTAAAAGTAAATTTAAAATTAATTAACATAATTAATTTTAAACTCTTCTTTGAGTCACCGGTTCCTTTATCATTTTATAACATAATTTAATTCTGCAATTTTATTTAATTTTTTTTTAATTATAATTTTATTAAGTTTAAAAAAAAAGGAAAAAAGGATGCATGCGTGTGTGTGAGTATACTTATATGTTTCGTATATCCCCGTTGTTGTGTAAGTCTATATTCATGAATGTCTATGCGTGAGTGCATATGTATATGTGTGTGTGTGTGTGTGTGTGGGTGTGTGTGTGTGCGTGTCTCACAAAGTATATAACTATTTATCTCATCATCAAAAAAAAATTTTTTACAGCCGATTTAAGAGATGGAGTTGTTAAATACCGTTTTGCAATATTTGGGGTTAAATGCAGCCTACTATTTATAGTTTATCTGACAAACAATTTTTGAATCATATGAGTTATCTACTTACAATTTGTAAAAATGGCTAAGCCATTTGGACACTATATAAAAATTAAAGGATCTATGCGTAATATTTAAGGGAATCGGAAAACCCAAACAATTACTGAAAACTCTTCAACTACTTAAAGCACAAAGAAAAGTCCAAACAAATTACCACAAAACATAAAAACACCAAACCAGTTTAGTTCAATTTAAAATTTTACTAATATTATGGTTTAAGTACGGATCATGCTACAACTTAACCCAAAAATGAAGAAGTAAATAAAAATTACGAGCTTTGATTACTATAATTCTTAGCATT